ATGAAGTATATGCGACGACTTCATTGTTGGGATCTGACAAACTGTTGAGATGCGACACGGACCAGATAATTCTCTCGAAAAGGCCTAAGCTTTCTGTAGTCGAGAATAAGAAGGATCTCAATCACATAAATGGTGTTAAAAAAGCGCAGATGGCTTGGTCTGCTCCTAAATCAAGTAGATCGTCTCCGGGCAAAACAGTGAGTGATATAAGACATTCCACTGCCAATGTAGTAAAGCTGCCATGTACGAATCTTCCGTCAACGGTTTTGGATAAGCCTTGTAACGGTCAACATAAGTTACGGAAGCTAATGTCCGTAGACTGGAAACGAGGGAGAGATAGGCTCGACTAATCAAGTAATCTTTTCTTTTTTTTGGTGTAGAAGTTTGCATTCCACAAATATTAGTATTTATCAACCTCTCCAAGAGGCTAAAGCGGTGTTCCTGGTTATATGTATATATATATATATCTCGTTGTAGGCTGTGCTATTGCTGAAAAAGGGGAAAATGTTACAATGGTAGTTGTAGAATACTGCAGGGGAATTCTTTGCCTTGTATATTGTAGAGCAATTGATGAGGCAATAGAAGTTTCAGTCTCTCGCGCTTTGTCTTTTGAGCTTTATTTTCTTAAAGGGTAAACTATGAAAATGATCCCTGAACTTTTAGGTTGCAGTATAAACCTTTGTTATTAAAATGTTATATATTTCTATTAAACTAAACAGAAGTCTTATAGTAGTGACCGAATAGTTTATTAATCAGGTCGAGTAGTCAATTTTGATGGTTAATTAAATTTGATTTTCGATTTTGAAAATTTAAATTGAATAAGTTTTTAAATAAAAAAATTGTATGTAGAGGTTTTAATGAAATTAATCTAAATATAAAATTATATATCTAAACATGGAATGATTCGATTATATAACTAGTTCTGAATAAATGTTTAATCTAACAATGGCGATTTTTTAATTTTACACTTATACCTAGGGTTGCACAAAAGTCGGATTTCAATCTGATACGGATCGGTTTTTATCCGATCCGGTTTTTTCCCAAAGAAAAAAAACCGGTTTATAAAATAACAAGTTTGGTTTCTAACCGGTTTGGAGGGCCGGATATCCTAACCGGTGTAACCGGTTTCGGTTTTAAAAAAACCGGTTTTTTAAAAAAACCGATTTTAATATTATTAAAATTACATCGTCATCAATTGCAACAAAGTTTACGATAATTTGTTGAAAACATTTTGATATTTCGATATAACAAATTAAGTTAAATGAATTTTAAGATTTTCCAAATGATTTTCTAAGTATATTCGATATAATTATTCGAATATCAAAACATTACTCCAAATATTTCAAAAATCATTTTTAATCCTTACTTAAGTGTAAAATTAAGTTTTAATCTTAAAACAATTTCAAAATAATCTTTCAAAGTATTTCGAACCATTTCAAAGCCAAAAATTCCAGATTGCTCGTAGGGAACCGATTCCCCCCTGAATGGTTTGGCTCCGAGATTTCCAGAATGCTCGGAGGGAACCGATTCCCCCATAGGGGGTACCGATTCCCCCCTATTCAACGGTCGAAATATTTGAATTTTACACTTAGGGAACCGATTCCCTATGAGAGGGTATCGATTCCCTATGAGAGGGTACCGATTCCCCTCACGCTCCAAGCATTTTTATTAAATGTTTTCACACTTAAACGGCTATATTATCTTCATTAATTATCCCTAACGTTCAGAAGTGATTCAAGGTGTATTTAAGCAAGCTTAGAAGCCATTGATCAAAGACAAGAAACATCAAGCAACTAGAATCAAGAGAGAATCAAAGAGAAAGCATCAAACCTCAAGTTTGAGCATTTCAAGCCTATTTTCATTCAATATTCATTTTGCTTTCAAGAACACATATTGTGCTCAATTGTATTCATCTTTGAGTGTTCTTTTCTTTGTTCTAGAATTGTGCAAACACTCTACCTTGTGAGGATTTCCTTGTAAGTTTGCAAATTTGTATTGTTCTCTTTGGGAGAGAGTTTTCTCAAGAATTTGGGGTATAATTCTTGAGGGTTTGTAAAGTTACTCTTTGTCTTCAAAAGAAAGACAAATTAGTGAATTTGTGGAAAATCCTTAGTGTGGATAGCTAAGGTAGTGGACGTAGACTTTGATTGAGAAAATCGAACCACTCTAAATCGCTGTGCAAATCTTTTCAATTTTCTGCAAAAGCTTCCACCGAAATTTTAATTGTCGATTCTGTCGATCGATTAACTCAACATAATTGAAATACTTAAATACTTCCAAGTTTGATAAATTCAAATACTTAAAAACTTCCAAGTTCGATAAATTCAAATACTTAAAAACTTCAAGTTCGATAATTGAAACAAAGTTTACGATAATTGAAATAAAGTTTAAAAATAAACTACATTGCCATCTCTTCATCATCATCTTCGCCTTCTTCGTTTGGAGGGGATATTCCAAGTTCGACTTCTTCAATGTGTAAGTTTGCTTCCAAATCGGCATCAATTGCATCTTCTAGGGTGGTGATATGTTGCTTACGAGCCGCTCCATCCAAATAATCCTTTAAACAAATGCATACTTCCACCGACTCGGGACTTAGTCTTGATCTCCGTTGCGATATAACCCTGCCACTAACAGAAAAAGCGGATTCCGAAGCTACCGTAGAAGCTTGGACGATTAGTAAATCACGGGCCATGGCGGCTAGAATCGGAAATTGTGCTTCCTTTTCTTTCCACCAAGCCAAAATATCCAAACTTTCAAACTCTTCAAATGTCATTTTTGATAGAAAATCGCATGACATGTAATTTCCCAACTCGCTACTTGGGGTGGCAGTACGTGATTGTTTGGATTGGGAATTTACAAGAGTGTTAAAAAGATTCAAATTTATGTTACTTGGACGTCTACTAGATGATTCCGCATTCATTCTCATTTGATCGTGTATTACACTACTTGATCTGTATTTAGTTAAATAAATTGCAAACATGTCTCGAAAACATTTGTTAAAATAATTTATTTGGTTTTGGACAAAGTTGGGTTCATCATCGGTTAGATTAAAAGCAAACGCAATTTGTTCAATTAGTGTTTCAACCCCGCCAACATTTAACGTTGGGTTTAAAGCGGCGGCACAAGTAAAAATTGGGGGAATCTCCTTAAAATATTTTAAAAGTTTTTCCTTCATTGCAAAGCCAATTTCTTGAAAAACTTCGGTTTCAAATTCAAAGTCATTTAGTCGGGTAGCCAACAAAAATATTTGATTAAGAACCAACGGGCTAGTAGGGTAATAAACACCGGATAAAAAAGTTGTTGCATTTTTAAAAACCCCAAGCAAATCGGTTATTTTGGCTATAGTTTCCCAACTCGAATCCGGATAAATGTTTGGGACATGACCCCTCTCGAAAAGCCGATTGTGAAATGTTTGCAATGTTTCCCTTTGCGTTAAGGCAGTATGCATCATCATCCAAGTTGAGTTCCAACGAGTTGGACAATCCAAATTAGGACCCAAAGCTTTTTTATTAACGGACTTACAAAATCGTTTATAATCATTTAGTCTTTTGTTGTTGTTACAAAGAACCGATTTTATCATTGTTTTAAATTCTAATCTAATCGGCTCAATAACCTCCAAACCTGCTTGCATGGATAAATTAATTATGTGTGCAACGCAACGGGTATGAAAAAACGCACCGTCTAAAATCGGTGAAAGTAATATTTTCAATCTTGAAACCGCGTTTGTATTATTCGATGCATTATCAAAGGATATAGAAAAAACTTTATTTTCTAATTTATAAAGACAAATTACCCTTTTTAAAAGTGTAAATAAATTAGCACCGGTATGCGGCTCACCGAATAATTCAAACGCGATTGTTCTTTTCATCATTTGCCAATTATCTTGATCTAACCAATGTGACGTAACGGCTAAAAGAGAATTTCCGATATTATAAGGGGAACTCCAAACGTCACATGTAAGCGACACACCATAACGGTGTTCTTGGAATCCTAAAATCATTTTTTCCCCCGCCGTACGCCACATTTTTATAACATCTCTTCTAAGGGTAGTACGACTTACTTGAGTATAACGTGGTTGCATTAGTTGTTGAATTGTTGTCGTGAAATCTTCATCATCAAAGTGGTCGAACGACAATGCTTTTGTAATCACGAACTTTGTAAACGCTTCTCGTAATTTTTCGTTGTCATAAATAAAAACACCACCTTACGGTGTAAGATTCGATTGGCTAGGATCCGATCTTGAGCGAAGTGCCTTGCATGATTTTGTCAAATGGTTCTTCAACGTTTGTTTCCTTCCGATGCAAGAAACTTTAGACAAAGTTTACAACGCGCCCTCCTCGAGCCATTTGACATCTCACATAAATCGTAGTGATCCCAAATATCTTTGTTTCGAGTGTGTTCGATCACTCTCACGACTTCAAGGTTTCCCCCGACGGAAGATTCAGCTGTGTTACTCATGATGAACAAAAAATTACAAAAATAAGATTTGAGAGATGTTTAGGTGTTGTGTAATAAGATTTGAGAAAGTTGTAATCAACAAAATACATCCCCAACCTATTTATACATGTTTAGGGTGGTAAAATGGTAATTTTTAAAGAAAAAAGGTCAAAAACGGTCACAAAACCCCCCAACGGCTATATTAACGGCTAGTTTTTTAAACCCAGACCGGTTTTTTTTCCGGATAAAAACCGGTTTTTTAACCGGTTTTTTTCAAACCGGTTTTTTATCCGGTAAAAAAACCGGTCTATGTTTTTTTTCTCCAAACCGGTTAAAATAACCGGTTTAAAAAAATCCGATCCGGTTAAAAAAAACTGGTTTTTCCCAAATCCGGTTTCGGATATTTTTTCGCAAAATCGGATATTCGGATTTTTTGTGAACCCCTACTTATACCAGAAAAAAAAACAATTCAGTTTATTCAATTATTTTGATAATAAAAACTATTTAATTTATTTTATTATTGATAAATTAAAATTAAACCCAGATAATACGAGTAACTAATCAATAAAATAGCACCTTTGGCTTGAAAAATGTATGATTTTATTAGTTGTGATAAAAAAATATACAAACCCTAGGAAAACATTTGATCCAGCAGAAGAACCAAAGCCATTGCAAATCCGGGATCAAATCCTGCCTCTACAATCAACATGAAAACCTCTACCCCAAATGAAACGCCTCCGATTATTGCGTCTTTTCTCTTGATCTCAGCCAATACCCTCTTTGTTCTATCAACCACTTTACATGATCGATGCGAATACGACCCTTCGATCGTATAAGCATACCCTTTTTCCGACGACCGGCACCGATACACGTATGCGAGCACATTAGGGTTTCCATGCAAGATGTTGACGCACTTCTTTACATAGAAAATTGGCTCCTTTGTTGATGTACAATTATCACCTACTTCCCCTCCATAGACAAGCCATGTATCCAACAGTCTAAGGTTCTATCCATGACACAATGCCGAATTAATCTTCGAATGTATTTTGATAAAAAAAAAATGAACAGTCGGAGAAACATAATAACGAAGTACGTACCTTGCTACGTCGCATTGCCAAGATCGATCTTCCCGAACCGTCCATAAGAACGAGTTCCTTGGGGCGACCGGTGTAATTATCTACTCGATAAACAACATCTCCATAAGAATCAATGACAGTGAATCCATTGCAGCTAATCACAAGTGATTTTCTCCACACTGTAAGTGATGTGCATGGATCGCATCTGGTTTTCGACGAGTCAGCCAACGCCGATTTTTCTAGACGATGCACTTCTTCTTGGACTGATCTCGACAAGGATTTCAAGAAAAGAAACATTCTTAACATCTTCTTCTTCTTCTTCTTCTTTAACTCAGTCGAGTTCATAGGAACGTATACTTATAGGGTTCAGTGAAGACTATAACCTACAGTGTTGAAGTTAGTTAAGCTATAACATTTTTTATGTTTTCTTTTTCCTGCAAATTGTGCAACAGACAAGCTTTTTACCTAACTCACAGGGACTCGTTTTCCAGAGGGAATTTTGACGGAAATATTAAGAAAATGATGGGTTTTTTTTTATTTTAATCTCAAGTTGGCGTAAGATCTTCACTGTTGTTAGTGTTGGAATTTGTAACATTCACGGATTTATAGGGTTTGGTTGGATTCCATTGGCTGTGTGGTTTCTCTAATACGTTGTGTTGACGTCAAAAAAAAAAATAAGAACAAAATAGTAAACGGTGAGACCAGTAGTGAGTTGTGTCCTCCTTGGCACATTGTTTTTCCAGCAAATCAGTCCTCCTTTGATGGCCATGGTCAAAGAGTATTTGATCACTTGGTCTTATATTATATATAAATATTAAATATATTGGGTAAAGTACACAAAGGTCCCTAGCTATAAGATATTGCTTTGTTGAGTCTACCACTATTAAAAGTTACAAAATGGTCTCTGAAGTTGATTTGTTGAGTCTCTAGACTATTAAAAAGTACAAGATGATCATCCGTTTTATTATATTCCAAACTCGTCATTTTTCTTTACGACCGTTTGAACTGGACGTTAACCTACTGACTGAGATATTATAAAATATGATCTCATAATCTTAAACATAATAAATAGTTGGATTACTATTTTATAACTTTTAATAGTCGAGGGACTCAACAAAACAGTATCCTCTAGCCCATGATCATTTTATAGTTTTTAATACTCGAGGGACTCAACAAAACAATATCATATAGACTTAAAGATTTACGGCCATAAGATCTCACGCGAATTTTAAAATTATAATTTTATTTTGCTACGTATCCATGTTATTAGTTAATTAATGAGAAATAAATATATTATTCCTCTAAGATAGTTATAAACGGATTTAATGTACAACATGGTTCGTAACGTAAGAGCTTCACCTCATATTTTGATCAAGATCATTAATAGACTTAAAAGCTTTCGTATCTACTATAAGTCTTTTCTTTTTTATCAATATATTTTGTTTATCAAATAAATTATACAGTTAACTTTTCGAATCAAATCAATTTATCAAATAAATTATACCGTCAACTTTTCGAATCAAATCAAAATACAAATTATAAAGTCTAACAATCACGAACGATAGTCCTTGTTTCTTTCCATGTCCATTTCAAAACACGATAGGTTTGCCATGGACGGCGACCGACCATGTCATCTAACTTTCTGGTTTGGTCCTAAAACCAGAATTCTGAAGGCGGATTGTTTCTGTCAGAAAGCAACAAGATAATGTTTGAATTAAGATTCCCCAGAATCAACAAAACTTTGTTTGGTTCAAATAAAACAGGGTTTAGCTAGATTGGCGTTTCTGGTTCCACCATTTGTTTAAACATCATCATCATCTCTCCATATCACTATCGTATCACCTCTGCCAGAGAACTAAAGGATATTGCTTTGTACCCAACCCGTATAAAAGATTCATCACTTAATTTTTTTATCACTCCTATTTTGATTAATAAAATTAAAAAAAAAATCAATTTAATAACTCAACTTTTAAATTACTTTTATTTTAATTATTATTCTATTAAATCACAAACAGTATAATGAAACACTAAAGCTCAAATTCTAGACACATCACTTTAAAAAAGAAAAACCTAAAATTTGAAGCTTAAATAGTAATTGGAAAGAAATTTGAGGAAACTATGTCAAGCATTCATATTTTTTAATGCTACAAATTATAAAAAAGAATCCCAAACAATAATTAGTAAACAAAAAAACGAACACACACATTTACGTAAAAATTATTAAGGAAAAAGTATGAACCAAAAATAGTTCATTATGATTGTAGATAAGCCATCGGAATCGTCTGTCAAGGCCAAAGTCTTCCGTCTCTTCGGAAGAGAAAGGCCCTTACACTACGTTTTCGGTGGAGGCAAACGTATGTTACTAAAACCTCTTATTTTCATTTCTTGAATTTGTTCCATTTGAGTTCCTTTTAAGAAATCCTGGCTGTTTAGACACTTTATTTCCGTTTTAAATCGTAGTTAGATCTGTCTCAACGATTTGGATCGAGCTTCGGATTTTTGCTATGATTGATGTTGTTTGAGCTTAATTATGGTTTTTGATGTTATTATCTGTTTTAGCATGAATAATGAAGCTAGGCATTTTCTAGTTCATTAAGTGAATTGATGGGATCACATCTAGTGAAGTTTACCCTTTTTTTTTTGCTTTATGAGAGCAAACAAATTCTGGGATTATCTTAATTTTCCGATAATCGTATTAGTATCTATACTTTGAAGTGATTTTCATCCGTAATTACTGTCACTTGCCTCAGTTTTCTATCATGTAATGCATACTCATGTAATGAAATTGAATTTGTAATAGCTGCCGACATTTTCCTGTGGAGGAACAAAAAGGTTTCAGCCGGAGCCCTTGGTGTTGCAACTGTGATTTGGGCGTTGTTCGAATTGCTCGAATACAACCTTCTCACTCTAGTGTGTCACTTGTCTATACTTGCTCTTGCATTGCTTTTCTTGTGGTTGAATGCTGATACCTTCATCCACAAGTAAGCCATTGATTTCGTTGTCTACTTTTGTGGTTATATTTGGATTCACGCTTCTTTTTTGTTCATGCTAACGTAAATTGTTTTGGGTATGTCTCAACCACGCATCCACGAGGTCCAAATACCTAAGGACCCTGTTTTAGAGTTTGCCAAAGCACTTAGTTTTGAGTATGTCTTACAAAGGTCCTCTCCGTATGTTGTTTACTTGTTTACTAGATTTCTGACTGAGCATAATTCAATTCTTCATCGAACTTGTAGTTAAGATAGCAATGCAACGGTTGCATACATGTTTTCTGTCCTGAGCTCCTGAAGATTTTATAGATATTGCTCTGTTTCCGACAATTGAATTGGATTGTCGTTGTGATATTTTCAGGTGATTGCTGGCTTCTGGGTCTTGTCTATTGTGGGAAATTGGTGCAACTTCTTGACTCTTTTCCAAACAGGTATCGGAATTGCCTTCAAGCGCTTTGCCTCTATGTGCTCCCCTCCTTTACCTTATAAGCATTGTGATTTTCTGATTTACTTTAATGGTTTTGCAACACAGTCTTCATGCTACTTCACACTGTACCTGTGCTTTAGGAGAAATACGAGGTCAAGGCCGATTCATTTGCCGAGAAAGCAATGCATGAGATTAAGAAGCAGTATGCAATATGTTATAATATCGAAACAATGATTATCGGTAAACAAATAAACACGATCGGAAAAGAAAAACAAAGAACACCCAGATTATCTACTTTTAATCAAACTAGGTTTCTACTTTCCCAAATTTATATATTAATTCATTTGTGTCACTTAGAATTCGAGTGAAACTCTAACATAGTCTTTGATGCAAGAGTTCTAAGTAAGATTCCGAGGGGAGCATTGAAAGAAAAGAAGAAGGATTAAATTTTCCGCCCAAGACGTTGCCGTTGGTAGGTTCTGACATACATATGGTAGCTTGTGTTAACAATGCTGATGAATATGGGATCCTTTTTTAAATATGGTTTTTTGCCACATGGTAACCTTTTGTGACAATATGTTATCATATTTCATGTTGATTAGGGCATTGTACCTTGGGTTCGATCTGCCTGGATTCACTTTGCTTTCAGTTTCCTGAAAATGGTGGTTTATAACACAATGCTTGAAAGAAATGGTGAAGTGGATTAAACAAGAAATGCCTGCAGACACCACTCAAGAATAATAGATTTTCAATATAAGACAAACCAAGCCGTTGCTATCCACGAACAAGTGGATCTGCCCACCAGAATTTTAGAACGAACTTTGAATATGAGAGCAGAAGTTCACTGCATCGATTTCATCAGTTCTAATTCTCCAGTAGCAATTTTATATCGTTAGGAGATTATCGGTTCCAACGATTGCCATCTGCATCAGAGATTTAAATAGCAGCCGGAATCGTTATTACATGACCGTAATACCCGCAATGACCACAATATCATCCGCTATGTCTGTAATCGCGATAAACATAACGCAACAAAAAACGTGAACAAAACCATAATTTAAAGAGAAAATAACCTCAGTGACCAAAATACCTTATAATATACGAATTTAACCAACTTTTTTTGGATTTGTCAAAATGACCAACAAATTCGCAACGCGAATTCCAATTTCGCAACTCAGTTTCCAATTTCGCAACGCGAATTTGTAAATCGCAACTGAATTTCAAATTCGCAAAGCGAATTTAATTTCGTAACAGGTTTTAGTTTCGGAACACAAATGTTTTGGGTATATAACAACGCAGCAGCAACAACTCATAACCTAAATCCCTAAATCGCAACTCATTCCATCTCTATCTATCACTCTCTCCGTTCCTATATCCAACGACATCCTTCCCCATCTCTATTTTTTTACATAATTTTATTTCTATATAATTTTTCAATGATTTCTCTCCCAAATTATCAACTATCAACTTAATAAAGGTACGTTTTTCTCTAAGTTAGTGATGATATCTAGTTTATAGCTCATTTGTTTAGTAAATTAATTTACAATTTTTAGAATGAAATCATCTAATGTTGATCATGTTTGGATAGATTTGTGTTTTGGAGGGTCATGGGAGAATGTTCATGGTGTTTTACAATATGTGAATTTACCCATGAATCTTCAACTAAAACTGTCATTAAAAAAGTTAACTTATGAAACTTTAATGTTTCGTGTTGCAAAGAAATTGAATTTAGAGCCTCTAAGTGGATTTAGACTATCTTATCTGAGAAAATGTAAAGTTTATTTGTTAACCGACAATGAAGATGTTGAACGATTCATTGCTTATATTAGTGTTTCGCAAGAAGATGATGTTATATTATATGTTGTTGAACCTAGAAGTAGTGA